ACTCGGGATACGCCCAGAGTCACGGAATGCATTAAGTTCGTATCCCGAGGTACCACTGTACCAGGATGGTACTCTGCATCCAGAACATTAACTGAAGCGCAATCCTGGCAAATTCCATCTCTGGTGGAGCAGGAGCAAAAGATCCAGCTGCTGCCAGTTAGAGTTCCATTTTACATAAATTGAAAGTATGTACATGCGTTAAAATCAATTTTACATAAATTAAGTGCTACTTAAAATACTTCCAAATGAACCAAAATACTTCCAAATGAACCATATTGTAACTACTAGAAATACATTTCTTACAAGATAAAGAAAAAGCCTGTAGTAAACATTTGAAAAATTGGTGTCATAGCTATTAACTGTTGATGAAAGTATTAAAAAAACAACAGCACACATAAAGGCCACATGTCCCCCTCTCTGCTACCTTTGGAGTTTTGCAGGATTCGATCGATAAGCCCAGGATATTTGGTGATGCGTTGGGTGACGAGGAGAATGCATTCTTGCACCCCATGCCGCCGAAGTACTGATGAACGCGACAATCTCTGGAAACATTGAGGAAATGGGCAGAAGGGTTATTATCCAGAACAGATCCACAAGATATGCAGCAAACATCTGTACACACCTCATACACACATCTCGTGCCAAGCTTCAAACACAAACTTCCTTTGCTTCTGTCCTGGCTATAAAATGAGGAAATGCACTAACCCTGAAAAGGCTGTGTGTACAGGTAGTCCTCAACTTACAACAGCAATTGGGACTGGAATTTCCATCGCTAAGCGATGCAGTTGTAAACTGTGACCGCATCACTTAGGGATGGCAATCCCTGCAGCCCCACTTGCCATCATTAACCGAATCCCATGGTCGTTAGGTGAGGCAACTTCTTGCCAGCTTCCCACAACCAAGTCAGTGGGGAAGCCAGCAGGAAGTTGCAAGTCTCAGGTGGCTCACAAGCAGGCCGACAGGCAGGTAAATGGTTGCTGCTGGATGGGGGAGGGTGGGACAGGATGCACAAGGGTGTGAGGGAGGCACAGGGAGGGCCAGGGAGGGTGCGCAAGGCTGCGTGAGGGTGTGAGGGAGTGTGGTGAGGCTCAGGGAAGGTGCATGAGAGTGAACGAGGGTGAGAGGGAGGTGCAGTGAAGGTCAGGGAGGGTGCGCGAGGATGAGAGGGAGGTGCAGCGAGATTTGGGGAGGGTGTGCGGGGGTACATGAATGGCAGGGAAGGAGAGGTGAGGTTTGGGTAAGATGCACCAGGGGTGTGAGTGGCCAGGGTGGTGCGAGCACAGAGGGGTGCAAGAGGATGCACGGATAGGGGAGACTTACCCCAGTGACTTGACCTTCTCTGCCAGCTTCCCCATTGACTTTTTGGGGAAGCCGGCAGGGAAGGTTGCAAATGGCAATAACGTGATCGTGGTGCACTGCAACCAGTCGTAAGTGCAAGCCAGTTGCCAAGTGCTCAGATTGCGATCAAGTGACCGCGGGGTGCTGGGAAGCCCGGAACTCCGGGGACATGTCATAACCACCATTTGTTCAGCGTCATTGTGACTTCGAATGATCACTGAATGAATGGTCATAAGCCGAGGACTACCTGTACATTCAACAAGCCTGGCTGGGTTTGGACAAAATGCCTGCTAAAACTAAAACATGACTTTCCATCCTCTGTGGGGGGGGGGGGGGGAATCCCACAGCAAGCGAGTAACAAAGAAATGACTGCAGAACAGAAACAAGTTCCAATGGAATAGCTGGGTTGATTGCGTTTAACTGGAAGGAAACTCAAATGTTTTTGTTCCAACCTGGGAACAAAAGTCTTAGAACATCATGTTTTGTTTCAAGCTTGGATCGCTCAGAACAGTCCCTTCTGAAGGGTTTTTTTTCACCCCATGACCATCAAGATGCTGTCACTCAAAACGACCAAGATTATTCTGGGGTTAGAACAAAACGGTGAGTTTTGTTTTGAAATACAATTCTCAAAAAGCACAAGTTTTATTTTCCACTTGGAAGATTCAAAATGTCTTGCGCAACCTTATTTGTCACAATGTCTGAACCTGTACATGTGCATATGCGCACATGCAAACAGCAGATGGTAAGGTCTTTACAGCAGAATTCCACCCTTTCTACATCTCGCCTACAGCCACTCATCCACTGCTGGGTAATGAACTCAAGAGTGTGGTGGCCGCTCTTCCTCAGCCCTTCCTTTCCCTTGTCAATCCCTGAAGTCAGCTGCAGAAACAAGCTAGGGAGAAAGGAAGGATGCAAGAGCAGGAAATGTTCTTGCCCGGATGAATTGCTGGAACCGCTTGTCCCGGGTGAAGAGGTCTTTGTAGAGCTTGACGGCTTTGGTGTGGCGGCTGCAGAACTCTGAGTAGGCCTTCTTCATTTGCTCAGCAGTAGTGCCTGAAAACTGGAAGGCAGGATTGTAAGAAATGAGGGGGGAAGGACGCAAGAGCAGAGCAGGTGGGGAGAAGTTCTTCCCAAGCCTGTTCCTTCAAGTACCTGCTGGATAAGGATGTCTCCCAGGCGGCTGATTACAAAATTCTTGCGACTACCATCTGCCAGAGACTCCTTGCGACGTTCCAGGAGGTGGGCCAGGAAGCTGTCATGGATCTCACTGAGCTCATCCACGCAGGGGAACATGCGCTGCACCACTGCTGTATCCATCTGCAGGTCTTCCAGCATCCCCTTGCGAAAGAGGTTGGTCATGATTTTCAGGGTCTGGACGTGATGCAGCTCTGTCTGGATCAGTTCTGCAGAGATAAAGAAACTAGGCTGGGGAACAACAAGGGCTGGGCTGGAGCTAGCTCCAGGACCATCTAAAACAGGAAGATGTACTCATTTTTTACCTGAGGGGACAGGCATATATGTGTTCCACCCCTAGATACTGAAGACGTTTTGTCCCAAGAAGACAGAGAGATTCACAGATCTAGCCCTAATGTTGCCTTCTCTCCTTTTGTTCTGGACAAAGTCAGTCAGAAGGAGAAAAAAGTTGGAATAGAAGTTGGTCAAGTCACTGCTATCGTTTATTTATTTATTTATATTTATGAAGACTTTTACATGAAGTAAAAGGCAAATTAAAAAAAAGGTGCAAGAAAAGAAAAGAAAGATAAGAAACTAAAGTTATGAAATATAACTTCCAGCCTTTTCTAAAACAGACAATTGCAATCTTATAATCTTCCCTCCCTCTTAGGTGTTATCCAAATCCCTTCAGCCCCTCATTTAGCCCACATCTTTTTTAATCCTCAAATCATCATGTCATTTTTTTCCTTTCAGCAAAAAATCCATGTAAGATTTCCAATCTTTAAAAAAAGTGGGTCAGGCCCCTGTTATCTCAGGATGGAGAGCTTGAAAAACAGAGGTGACAATGTAAGCCTGTTTGGATCTCTCCCTGGCTGGAGGCCACGAACATACCAGGAGCTCCACTTCGGAGCAGCACCGAATCTCCAACGGTTGTGGGATTGGGACCAACTCCTCATGCTCAGGAGAGACCTTTAGGCACCTACTTACAGGTCTTCCTTTAGCAGAAATGGCCACTGGGACTGTTTCAGGTGGCTCTGACCCTTTTCTGACCCAATGTCCTTTTCCTCTCTAGAATCCTTTCCCAACCGACTCTTTGGGGAAAAATGTAATTCTTAGTAATAATGTCTGGGAAAGGCTATTTGCACTGGTCCTCCTGCAGCAACTTTTGCTGAAGAGAATAAATAGTTGTAAACTTTAAAGCATGTGCTTTATATATTGTTTAATTTAACCAAACCTAATTCTAATGGCTGTATGTGCATCACGTACATGCTGCCTTAAACCCCTGCAGGAAGGAAGGGAAAAAAATTGGATCTTAGACCTGGATGAAGTACTACAGAAATGCAGCCTGAATCTCCTTGCAAGAGAAGACAGAATGCAAGTTTGAATACATTGTCATTGCATCAATACAGAGCTTTCCCAGCAGACCTCATCGGTTAGTCTATGGAGGCCAACAATCAGAAGGAGTCCGGTGGCACCTTTTCCAACCAACTCAATTTTATTAAAATGCATCAGCTTTTGTGAGCTGCAACACAGTTCCTCAGATGCACGCAGTAGCTAAACTGACACAGGAGGAGCAGGTGAGATTCAAAGCCTTGGATCAGGCTCTAGTCCTGGACTGTTTAGCCGAAAAATACTCCTCACTGTCCAGAGGCTGACGGAAAAAGAGGGTCCTCAATAAATAAAGGATTGTTTTGTTCTTATCCAGACTCTTTATTTGAATACCTCATTGAGAGTTAGATGCTCCCCTGGGGGCATCTCTCTGGAGCTGTTACTACCCAGAGGAGGGTAAGGCAAGGATGTATTCTAGCCCCCTTAAGTTTCAATTTAGATATAAATGCATTAAGCCAGCCTCTCCCATCTTTTGCTCAACACTCTCTAATGTTAGCAGATTGTGCCATTCCAGCTCTGATACATGCAGATGACGTAGTAATTTTCTAGGATGAGAAACGCATTGAGGATTGAGTCCTGTGGGGCATTATAAAATATCCCTCTACATCAGCACATAACTCTATGTGGGGAGGGCTCAGCGGAGTTTCTGAGCCACTTGGTGCTCTGTGGCTCTCTTTACAAGGGAAACCTGGCCAATACTTCCTTTGAGATCTGTAATACGGTGTCCTGAAAGGTTGAAATGTTCTGATATTATTTTGATATTATTCTTTTTTGAGTCCTGATATCAAACTTGTGTCACTGGGTGGCAAACTGAAATCCCCACGAACCAACAGAATCCAGGAGCTCAGGCAGGGAAGCTGCTGGCAGCAGGGAGGGCAGTAAACCAGCAACAATGCCAACTGTTCCCTTGAGCCCAACTTCAGTCAGAGTGCCTCGCATTGGTTGTTTGCGGAGTGGATCCCCTGAAAGCCTGTAATGACTCCCAGATGACCACAGCCACCCCTCCCCCCTCCCCTGGACTCCTGGCTGGTACAAAACCCGGGACTCAGGTGGGCACATTTCCAAGAGGAGAACTTGCCCCTTTGGGCCCAACCAGGTCTCGGTAAAACATGCCAGGTCAGTGCCCTCAAGACAAGATCATGGATTAGGGAGCCTTGTTATACACTGACCTGCCATTCAAAAGCAGCAGCCAAAGTCCAGGGCCACCAAGGATCCAGTTGCCTGGCATAGAGGGTAGCAGCCCTCACATCCTTGTCCCAGGCCCCAGGACACGTAATTAAACCCAAAGCCCTGCCAGCCCACACCACCCAACCCATAGGGAACTCAACCACCACTGGCTGCACCTGCCCATACACTCGGCAGCCTCAGAAAACACCGCAGTCCCACTTACCTCCCCCACCCCAGTAGTGGGGCAAAACGGGGCCAGCATCCATGGACCTCCATCCCACCCAACAACATCCAAGGAGCCCAGGTCAGCACACCTCCATAGGTCGAATTAACAACATGACTGAGCAAGAGATTGCTGAACTCACATACCTCAAAAGGTTTCAGGCTATCTCAAAGGGTTTCAACAAACACAACAGGTTTTTAACACATTAAAACTGTTAATTAATAGGGCACCTGTAATCTGTCTCACATGTAACCTGCATCTGCATAACCAACCTATCTTCCCCTCCTTTTCCTCCCAATTTCAATCCTACAACAGTTTAGCTACTCCACGCATCTGATGAAGTGAGAAGCAACTTACAAAAGCATCTGCTTTGTTATTTGTCATTTAGAAAAGATGTTACAAAACGCCCCCTGATTTTTATCCTCCACAGTAGGGAGTCTTGTGTGTGCCTGCAGTCTCCACTGTTATTCTGGACACATGGGCCAGCACTAAAACGTTTAAGGTATCCCTAATAACTGGGGCTATGCAAGTCCCGCACATTTAAGCATTCACTGACAGGACTTGGGGTTGTTGTTGTTGTTGTTGCTGTTCTTTTGCCTTTCCTGCTACTCTGCTTAAATTTGCTTTTCTTTACAAGTGGTGTGGAGACTTTTTCAGTGTTGCACTCATTTTCCCAGGCTTACATTTGGTGGAGAGTGTGATACACAAATGTAATGAATACATTAAAAAAAATTCAGCTATGGTCTTTATGGCCTGAAGAGAGTCTCATGTTTCTTCCACTTGTACCTTCCCAGGGAAATGGGGCTGGCCTTCATGGCTCAGAGGCTGGGTGGGTGGCTGAGGGGGGAGCTCGGCTGAGGCTCTAATACTCACCATAGATGACATCTTGGCGCTTCATGACTTCCTTCTTGTGCTGCTGCAGGAAGCTGTTGTCAACTGCCAGACTCCAGGAGTCAGCATCAAAATCCTTCTCGTCCATCTCAAAGTCACTCATCAACTGGCTATAAACGACTTCAGCTCCTGGGGGAAGAAAGTACAGGGAGGCAGTGCAGGGATGCGCACATGCAAGTGTGCAGTGGAGGGAGAATGATGCTGATTTAGGCAAGGTGGAGGCTTCAAAGATAAAGCAAACCCAGGTGTGCTTGCAGAAAAGAACGCTGCCGCTCCTTAGTACCCGTGGAATGCTTGAAACTATCCAGCTCACAATACACAACAAAACCAATGCGTGTTTTTTAAAAAAGCGGGGCTTCAATTGGATGGGTGCAACCACCATTTTGGCTCTTCTAACCCCCCCAACCCCCCATCTGATGCCCCTGGCTGTCTGGGTACTCGGCCTTGGGTCCAAGACTCTCCGGATTTCAGGAAAAAGGCACAATGAGACACTGGCTCTGTATTTTCCCTCCTCCAGTCTTCATCCAGGAATACTCTGATTGTAAGCTGCACAAAAAGCCAACTCAGCTGTTGAAAGAAAACAGCCAAGTATCAGGAACACCAATGTACCAAAGGTGTCTGTCTCAGCTACGTCAATAGGGAAAGATTCTATTTCTGTATTTCTGGAGGAGGTGCACAGTGGCACCTACATACCAGTTGACAGAATGCCTCTGGCAATTTGGAGAGAATAATTAAGATCTTGCTTATCATCAAAGCTGGATATAGTGTGGTCTATAAATTATTGATAAACATGATTATCAATTGTCAATTCTAAGAATCCATTGAGATTGGAAAGGAGGCAGAGCAGAACAAGAGTGATCAATGGCCTGGAAACTCAGTCCTGCAAGGAGGGACTGAGGGAACTGGGGATGTATAGTGTTGAGACGACAACATGGTGGATCACGACAGCATTTTCTATGTACTGAAGAGGTGCAGCACAGAAGAAAGACAAAGCCTGATCTCCCTTGTTCCAGAGGACAGGACATTAAACAATGTCTTATATTACAAGAAGGCAGATTCTGACTGAATATTAGGAAAGTAAGAGCAGTTTGACTGTGAGGATCAGAGGAGGAGGTGGCTAGACACAGATACATGCAAGCAGAGGCTGGACAACCAACTGTTGGGGACATACTGAACAAGGGTCCCTTCTAAGTCTAGGATTCTAAGTTAGTGAAATTAAAAATGAAACAAGATTCCAGCACACTGTGTTTCTATAGATACCACCTCTGCAATCTTCTATTTTTTCCCAAAGCCCTGTTCTGAGTTTTTTGCTGCAATATTTCTCTGCATTATGTATTAGTACTCTTCCCAAACAGACTTTCTAATACCCTAGAAGACAGAAATAAAATTCAAAACAATCTTGCTAGATTAATGGGTTGAAAGTAACAGAATGAAAGCAAACAGAGGCAAGTGCACAGTTCTTCACTGAAGAAACAAATGTATAGTTATAATAATAATCATGAGCTGGAAACTGATTATGAGCCAACAGTGTGATGTGGATCCGTAGAAGGTTAATGCAATTATAGGCTGCAACAACAGAAGTACGATTTCTACATCAAAGGAAGTAGTACTTTCCATTTATTCTCCTTTGGTCTGATTCCCACTCAAGCCCAGTATCCAGTTCTGGGTTCCATATTTCAAGGATGATTCAGACCACTGAACAGGTTCAGAGAAGAGCAACAAGGATAAGTCTTATGAAGAGAGACGGAAGAATCTGGGAATGCTTATCACTGAGAAACTGAGGAAGAGAGACTGAGGGAGGTGAGGAATTATATCCCTCTTCAAACATGAAAGTATGTCATGCAGAAGATCACAAGCTGTTCTCTATCATTCCAGCAGAGCACAGAATAATGGCTTGAAGTTACAAGAATTAGAGGAACAAGGGAGAATGCCCCGAAACAAGCCTTCTTGGGGAGAGGGCTCCCTCCTCTGGAACACTTTGCCCCCTGATGTAACAGAAGTTCCCACTTTCCTGGTCTTCTGGAAGCTTGCAAAACTTTGGTGGTTCTGGAAGGCCTTTGGGTCTTGAGTGCTGTAAAGCTCCTGGTGCTAGGAATGTTGTAATTAACTGTAATTGCTATTATGTTTTTATATTGTATTTCTGTTACTGGATGTTACTCTTATTATAACAGCCGCAGCTTTTGTACATTGCTTAGAGCAACCTTGAATGAAGAGGTTTATAAATGCACAAATAAATAAAAGTCAGATTCCCATTATATGTTTTCCTAGTAGTAAGAGCTGTTTGATGAAGGAACCGGTAACCCACAAAGATGGCAAGCTTCCCTTCATTGGACAGATTCAGGCACAGGCTGGGCATACATCTGTTTGGGATACTTTAATTGGGTTTCCTGCGCCAGTGGGGGGGGGGCAGATGACCTTAACTGCCCCTTCCAACTCCAGGATTCTACCAGCTTTCCTCCCATTTGGAAAAAAAAATCCCGATTCACACCCCCAGTGTTTTCTGAATAATTTCTTTGAATTTACTGAAGCACATCCAAATAACCACAGTTGCCTGTGTGTGCACCCTCCTCTTCTCACCTTCATCAATGAGGGATTCTACTGACAAGGTTCGGTTGCGCATGTTCAAGGAATCGGTGGACTGAGAGAGGATTCTCCGGATGCCTAGGGGGGATTCGTCGTTGAATGTCCTGAACAGGAAAGCAAAAATTATGACCACAAGTGATTGGAGTTTGCCGTAACTAGGTACCTTCCAGGAGCAGTGGACTAAACTTCTATCCTCTCCAGCCAACAGGCAACTGTTCTGGAGGACACCAGTTGGAGAAGAATGCTCTACACACCTGCATCGCAACCTTTTGCCCAAACTTTCAAAGCAGTCTGCAGATGTGTTTTTTCCCTGAATTTTATATACAAACCAGCTCTTTGAAGTGCATTAACTTACCCTGCAATGTTTGTAGTGGAGACACTTTTGGAAAGGGACAAGGTGGGACGGCTTCTGCGGGGTCCCAGCAAGGTCTGCCGAAAACTCTCTGATGGGTAAATGGCAGAATTGGGACGCTCCCTTGTGATGGCTGAAAAATACGAACAGACATCCAGCGAAGGTTAGAGGGCACACTTCTGTTCTTTTGAAACCCAGCCATTCTGCATTTTTCAGGTTTGAAAGAAATACTCTGGATAACTATAAAGAAAAGCACTGTGGCTCAAGAAAACCTGGAACCCTTCTCCCACTCCAGACCTAAGCAGAGCAATCTTGAAGATGTGGTTAAAAAAGGAAAGACACTCTGGCACTCAGACATCAAGATGATCTTGAGAGCTGATGGAAATGGAATTCAAGGCCCAACTTTAGATTAAAAAGGGATGCAAGTTCAAGAATATAGATTAAACCCCATTCTCATTCCCCCCAGCCACAGTCTGTTCAAAGAGAGAAACTGCTCCCTACAGCCACTTCCCTGCCCTCTGCGCTTCTTTTTAAGTGCTGGACTTGCAATCACAGAATTCCCAGCCCCACTCACTTTTATTCCTGAGGGACACCGTCTGCAACGCTGAACTGTTCTTCAGCAGTGCGGCCTTTTGCTGCTGTGGGGGTAGTGGGGAGGGCAAGAGAAGACAGAAAGAAGAAATAAAAGGATAGCAGGGCAATAAAACAGATCAAGGGCAGACAAGAAGCTTGGAAGGTCCTTGTCCATTTTTCAGTGATTATCTTAGGAACAGAAACAGCCCTTCTGTCCTCATTTTCTGTCAGGGGGGAGTGCTCTTCTAAAATATTGTAGATGTAGATTCTCACATGCTATCTCTCAGGCCCAGCCTGTCTCTCAGCCCTCACTCCTCCAGACCAACCTTCTTCCCCCTAGGTCATCTAGAAGCTTCCTGAACAGAGATTAAAAATTCTGTGAATTGCCAAATGAAATTACCCAGCCTTTCCCATCCTGGCATTTTCCAGTGGCTTAGGTTCCCAGCCAGCAGAGGGAAGGATGGCCCTATGCTAATGCTGATCAAAAGAGCAATGAAGTCTACTTTTTGAAATTCCTGTCCAGTCTTTGTCAAGCATTCTCTGAGTCCAGGGCTTTTCCAGAGGGGCTTGAAACTTGAGAATGTTTTTAAAAACAGAAGTTGAGTTCCCCAGGTCAAATCAGGGCAAGCTAATGCCCAGAGAGCAGTCCCTGCCTGTCTGCTAATTCTCCTTTCTCATCAGCCCAGCTCAGCCCCTGCACCTACTCACCTTTTGCTTGACTTTGGTGCAGTTTGGCAGACTGTCTTTGCAGCGGTTGTGGATGGTCACGTTGCAGGCTGGAAAGGAAAAGCAGAGGCCGCTTGAGAAAGGAAGAGACAAAAGTGGACTCTGAAATACATCAGCTGCACATGAACACACACACACATATATACACACCCCTTGGCAGTCTTGACTTGACTTAGCAGGGGGTGGGAGACCACCAGAAAATCCCAGGGCCATAGATTACACTGGGAAATCAAAAAAACATCCTGGAAGAAGATAAAGCAAACCACTTTCGTATTACTGCTATAGCTGGGTCCATGTGAAGGAGACTTTGCCTCTAGATATAAAAACACAAATACCATTTTTTTCCCCCCAAGCCGATTGGCCAGGACTGGCTCCCAGGGCCAGAACAGAATTGGGAGGTTGGTTGGCTAGATCCACACAACCTGCTAGTTCAGGTTAAAATGTCTCCTGCATTTGACATCTTTTTCTTTATATATAATTTTTTCTTAAGAGTTTTGAAAAGAAGATAAAAACTAACAAGAACTAATATAAAATAAAGAAAAGAAAAGAAAAAAGTCAACAAGTAGAAAAAGAAAAAGAATGAAAAGAAATAGAAAGAAGTAGCTTCCAATTTTCTTTGCAACAAATATAAGTACAATTACAAAATTACCTCTTACTCCATGGTTACAAAAAGAAAAGCTCTCTTTTTTCTATTACCTATTTTTTCTAATCATCAAAACCATAAATCATAAGTTAATTTTTTTCTGTTTCATTCAAAAAGTCTATAGGGGGTTCCAGTCAGCAATAAACATAGATATTGTCTTTTCTCTGATCAAAGAAGTCAATTCAGCCATCTCTGCAAGTTCCATCATCTTCACCAGCCATTCCTCCATTGTGGGTAGTGCTGAATCTTTCCACTTTTGAACATATAATAATCTCTCTGCAGTTATCATATATAAAAACAAAATTCCATGACTTTTTTCTAGCTGTCTGCATCAATCCCATAAGGAAAGCCTCTGGTTTCAGTTCAATATTAATCTTTAAGATCTTCTAAATTAATGTATGTATTTGCATCCAAAACTTTCTGGCTTTTTTACATATCCATTGAACATGATAAAATGTCCCTTCCTGTTGTTCACATTTCCAACATAAATTCAAAGTACTTTTATACAGCCTAGACAATTGCTCTGGTGACAGATACCAATGATACATCATTTTATAAAAATTCTCTTTAAGATTAGAACATAGTATAAATTTCAATCCTTTCAACCACATATTTTTCCAATGTTCCGTTTGTATATTGTAACCAAAGTTTTTAGCCTATTTTATCACACATTCTTTCACTTGTTCTTCTTCTGTTTCAAATTTCAATAAAAGTTTGTACATTTTGGCATGACATGTTCATCATTTGTACACAGTTCTGTTTCAAACTCAGTCTTATACTGTTCAAAACCATGAAATCTTTTGTCTACTTTAAACCTTTCTGATAGCTGTACATAAGAAAACTACTGACAGGTATATCCCTATGCTACCAGATCTTCTCTT